CAACTGGGCTTCTTGAGAGAGCCCCATGAAACAGGGGAGGATGCCAAGTTTTCACATTCCACTTTGCAGGCACTGTTAGAAGCAAACAGTGAAAGTTCATTAACTGTCAGACCTGCATTATCCAGATCATCACTCCTGTTTGTAGAAAAGGACACCTAGTGTCAGAGAAGTTGTGTCTTGGCTGAGGTTCCACATAGAGTGAGTGAATACATTTGGGATTTGAGTCTAGGTGTCAGTAACTTCACAGCCCATGCCCTATCCAATCCATGTTCACCATTAACGCATTTCTACCAGTTGCAAGAGTCTGAATCCTGAACAACTTAAAGAAAATTTCTTTAGCTACTACCCTTAGATAGCTTCTTCAAAAAGTTTTTTCTCCCCAGCCAGACCTGAGCTTTTCCCTCCCTTGAATCCCAAATTATTACTTGATTTCAAATTCTTGGAAAACTTTCATACTCATTGTACTTGACTGGGGCACTCGTCCTGGGAGATTGACACAGCAGATACTTCTCTCACTCCATCGCCCCTAAACAGATGAACTGACATTAAGAAAGACCGGCAAACTAGCCAAGAGTGAACCATGAGCCCGAGCTCACCAGGCACTAGTTCTGTGGTCCCAACTCCGGCCTCAGGGCCTTGGTTTCAGCAGCCACATTGTTTTCCACTTACTGCAATCAAAAGGGGGACAGAATGTGTGACATTTCTTTTCTTTTTTTTTTTTATGTGACTCTTACGGGCAAATGAAACAGCCAGGCTTTACTGTGTGTTTGCTGTGTGCCCAGAACTGAGCTGGGGAGTCAGATGACAGAGAACCATGAGCCGTACAGCCCCTGCCCTCAAGGGATGAACAAGGGGATGAACGTTGGAGCTGGGAGGTGTGGCTGAAAACACCTGCGTTATCTGGGCACGGGCTGGCCCATTGCACTCTTAAGTGTCTGTGAAGCCGACCAGGTTTCCTAAGTCTCCACATCTCCTGAGGCTTGGCTCAGAGCGCGGTGTTCAGCAGGCCAGAGCCCCTGTACACAGCTGTACCCACCTCTGCCACACCTGCCGGGCAGGTGCGAAACGATGGACCTCTGGCCCAGCCGCAGCCCTGAGTGTCTTCGCTGACCCCCTGCCTAGCCACTCACTGTCCTCTGTTCCCACCCCCACTGCATTTCCACTTCATTCTTCCATTCCCTTCTTTAGATTTGGACTTGACCTGTAGTACTATAAACTTTTCATTTATAAAGTCATGACTGCAGGCCAGGCATTGTGCGAGATACTTTCTATTTGCTGCCTCTAATCCCCACAGCAACTATGGGAAGGAGGAGACTTGGGGTCCCTATTTTATAAACATGGCAACGGAGGCTGGAACAAGGTTAAGGAAATGGCCTGAGGTCACAGCAGGCACCCTGAGCCTGAGAGCTTAATTGGTGAGGACCGATTAAGTGTTTTAATATCATGAAAAAGACTTTTACAAAACAATCTTGCTTTTCCCAAGATGTCAGTGATCTGACATACATTTAAGTATGGCTCCCACATTAGAAGGCATACTTTGAGGCACACAGGCCCAGAAACATATAAAATAGGAAAATAAACACATTTAAAATTTTTTAAATTGAAATACAGTTGATTTACAATGTTGTGTTAGTTTCAGATATACAGCCAAGTGATTCAATTATATATCTATACATATATACATGTTAGATTCTTTTCTGCTATAGGTTATTATAAGATATTGAGCAGAGTTCCCTGTGCCATACAGTAGGTCCTTGTTGGTTGTCTATTTTGTATATAGTAGTGTGTATATTTTAATCCCAAACTCCTAATTTATCCTTCTTCCCCTTTCCCCTTTGGTAACCTTAAGTTTGTTTTCTGTCTGTGAGTCTATTTCTGTTTTGTAAATAAGTTCATTTGTATCATTTTTCTTAGATTCCACATACAAGCCATAATATATGACATTTGTCTTTCTCCATCTGACTTACTTCATTTAATATGATAATCTCTAGGTCCATTCATGTTGCTGCAAATGGAATTAATTCATTCTTTTTTATGGCTGAGTAGTATTTCATTGTAAACACATTTTTTGATGTTGCCAGAGAAGGATTGTAAAAAATACCTTCAGTAGCTCTCAACTACTCGTACTAAAATAACTTTCATTACATGCATTTATTCTCTGCTAGACGCTTTTACATGTAAAACCTCACAAATAACTTCCCATTTCACAGAAGGGCTGTTTGTGTGTGCATACATATACATACATGTATACGTTTATATTTTATAGACACAAATATATGTGTACATGTGCACTTAATATGTGGGTGAAATAAACTGAGCTCAATCTTGAAATGATAGAAGTGGAATTTGAACCCAGCTTTCTTGACTCCAAACACTGTTGGGGGTTCTATCCACTAAATCATTGCTTCTCAACTTTGCTTGTGCATTGAAATCACCAGGGAGTTTATAAAATTCTGATTTTGGGGTCCCACTCCTAGAGATTCTGACATGACTTCTCTGGGGCATGGCCCCAGCATGAGGACTTTTAAAAGCTCCCCAGCTGATTTTAATGCACTCTAAAGCTAAGAACCACAGCTCAAGCCAGAACTCCACTTACCAGTTTCTTACTGCTGCTATGACAAATGAGCACAACCTGTGGCTCCAAACAAGGCACATTGTTCTATTAGCATCTGTAGTTCAGAGTTCCAACCTGGGTCGCACTGGGCTAAAATCAAGGTGTGGGCTGGGCTTTGTTCCTCTCTGGAGCTTCTAGGGGAGATCTGTTTTTTGCCCTTTGCAGCTTCCAGAGGCTGCCCACATTCCTTGTCTAGAGGACCTGTTGTTCCTCCATCTTCAAAACCAGCAACAGCTGGTCAAGTCCTCACATACTATTACTCTGACATTTCCCGCCTCCTTTTCCTCATTTCAGGACCCCTGTGATTACACTGGGCCCACCCAGTTTATCCAGAATAATCTCCCTATTTGCAAGGCAGACGATTAGCAACCTTAAGTCCATCTGCTATATCTAATTCTGCTTTGCCACGTAAGATAACATAGTCACAGGCTCAGGGGATTCGAAGTTGGATCTCTTTCGGGGCCATAATTCTGCCTACTACCATCGACTAGCAGTTTTAAAAAAAAAAAAAAAATCAAGGTTTCCCTGCTAATGCATCTGCTCACAGAGGGGAAAGCCAGTGTGCGGTGTGTTCTTTTACAGAACAGTCAAGTCAGAGCTGCTGGGTATCTGAAAACATTTCCCTTCTGTTCCCCTCGCTCCTCTTTCCCACTGGTAAGAAGAGCAGTGAGAGCCTGTCATTCTCTGGGCTTCCCACAGCTGCTTTCACACCACTTGAAAACAGAGCCTAGGTGACCAGCATTCCCAATCCATCCTGGGACGAGGCAATATGTGAGCTGCCATACGCTCCGTTGGGTTCCGGCTGATGCTGAGCAGGTGTATGGCATTCGGGCCAAGCATGTGGAGGGTGGTAGATTCACAGAGGGGAGGTACCGTTTTCAATTTACCGGCGGAAGACCTAGGAAATAACAGAGCCCTGGGTGTATTTGCCTCTCTCCTGCTTCCCGCTCATTTCCTAAGACATACAAGATGGTTCCGGTTTTCATTCTCAAAATCCAAGGAAACACTTTGAACATGACACTTGCGCTGATTTAAAAATTATTCTCCAACATTCAGAATCCGTCAATTATCAAGATGCAGAAAAACTCCAAATATTTATAATGACAGTACTATCATTACGTTATTATGACAAGAAGGGGAGGAGAGCAGTTTAACCTTAGTCAAGGTGTGTGTGTCTGTGTGTGTGTGTTTTCTGTGCATCAATTTAGAATTCCAATAACAAGTTTGCCATATACAGTCGTGTCTCAATAACAATTAGTCGTTTATATACCTGAGCAACTTTATTCCTAAATACATTTACATCTACAAACACCTTTTTGACTTAAATGTATCATTTCTGATGGTGTGTGAGGGGAAGAGAAGAAAAGCCAAAGTTAAATGAACGGGACTCCACGAACAACGCAAGTCGAGTTTGCTGATGTTGGCTCTGAAGAATTCATCTTAATCAATGAGGTTGCTTCTGTTCCCATAAAAATGAGTGATTGGGACACATAAAGTACGCTATCAACTTTTGCCCCAAACTAAGCAGTTTAGATCATTTATTTCCATAAAATGAGACTGCATCGTATGTCAAGCTGGTGCATTTTCTGTGTGACTGACTTGAGAGTCTGAGTTGACAATTTAAGTTCTAATTATTCGCACCCTCCTCAGTCTGCTATTACAGGAGGCCACAGGGCTCTCCCAGAGGAGTGCCGGAAAGGACGTTATGTGGGCTGACGGGAAGCAGCTGAGAAACAGCCACAGGGCTTTTTAATGCAGATGAGGTACGGCTGCGGAGAGGAGCCGAAGGGGATCGAAGAACCCTGATTGGAAGGTTCAAGTGTGTTCCATCTGTTACTCCCCTAGCCTTTTCATTAATGCTGTGTAAAGGCAAGCAGAGTCCCAGCTGGTGAAAAGGTATCTGTTTGACAGGCCCACGGCCTGAATCTCCTCTCCCCTGGCAGGGTCAGATGCTCGTAGGGGCCTTGCAACTCTCCACCTTCAATTTCAGGTCAAGACGCAGCTCAGCTCTTTGGTGTGGTCAGAGAATAAGCATGACCTTGGTCAATTGGGTGGGCTTGGGTTTGCATCACAGCACTCCCACGTCCTCACTGTGGGTCCATCAGAACATTAGTTAAACTAAAGGTTAGAGTCCTCGTCTAAAATAAAATGGAAACTTAAGCATGTAAATTCCAGGGCTCTAGTGAGATGTATCTGTGCGACTCCAGTAAATATGAAGTTTCCTTCTTTTTCCCCATTATCTACACTGTATGTGGATGAAGAAAAGAAAATGATAAAGAGGCAGCTGGTTTTATATTTTGGATGATTTACAAAAATGGAATATACATGCAAAAAAGACCTCAACTAGCATTTTCAAATGTATTGGGCTTTTTTTTTTTTTCCCCAGCCTATCTTTCTGAATGGTTTAGAGAGCACAGATCTGGAGCCAGACTGCCTGGATTGGAATTCCAATGCTACCACTTACTACCTTTGCAACCTTGGTCAGGTAAGTTAACCTCTCTGTGCCTCGGTTTCATGATCTACGTTATGGAGGTAATAGTAATTCATAGGGTTGTTATGAGGATCCAATGAATTAATACTTAGAATTACTAGAATACGAGAATAGTGCTTGCCACTTAATGTTTGTTGCTGTTAGTATTTTCAAAAATATGTTAGTATTATTATCATTACCTTCCCTTCCCTTGCCTAGCTCTACACTTAGGCAGCCCATTCATTCCCATTGGGAAGGGGTTGTTTCAGAAAGGAGATAAGAGTCTCATTTTGGCCTTTGAATTTCAAATGCCTAGCTCTCAGGGAAATAGAAATGACAGAGCAGATTAAAAAATACAAACAATGCTTCCTGCTTCTGAGACTAGAATGGTGTTCTTGAGATGGGAAAGAGAAGAAAGTGAAGGGAAAGGTAGGTGCAGTCGACATTAGTAGGTGCCTGGAAGACATCCTGCCCACTGACTTCACTGACCATGTGTGGGACTGAGGGCCAATGGTGGAAGGAATGATACGAAACCCCAGAAAATCCGTGGAATGCAAGAGCACAGGAGATGCGTGCTTCCATTTAGGGTAGAGTCCTTGGGAGAGGCAAGACCCCAAAGAAGGAGTAGCTGTGTATCCAGGCAGACAGGGCCGGGAGAACCTCGCAAAAATTCTCTATACACATCCTGGTGTAGTCACAATGATTCCTTTGCATCTGAGAGGGAGACCAAATTATCAACTAGAAAAAGCCAGGCTTGAAGGAGCTTTGAGGATTGGAAAAGGGATGATTCCTGGTGATCTGCATGTACTGAAGATCAAGGATCAGATGGCATGATAGATGTTTCCACAGACGTCAGCATGGCCAAATGACACTGAGGACCAGATGCCCCTTAATCCCAGACCATAGCAATATGGTAAGTCCCCTGAATTTGGATGCACCCCAGAGAAAAATAGGGGGTAATCCTCAATTGACTGAAATTAAATTTCCATATATTTCCACTCTTTGGATCCTTAAATAGAACCTACATTGAGTTTCAGGAAAATTTTTGAAGAAGTTCTTTCTCTTACATACTGGAGTTTCTAGACCAAGCTTCATACCCATTACATGTAAAAGGATTTGTGGAAGAACAGTTTTAAACTGATGACTGGATGAGCTCTTTGTTTTTAATTTAAAACAATTTTCTTAAATATATAAATCTCTGAACCCTTCACATGTGGAATTTGGCAATCCCATCTATAGAAACACATTTTTAAAACCTTATTGTGTAACAGTCCAAATATATATGTAAACAGAAATATAATGAAATCTACCCCGCACATACCCATCTCCCATCTTCAACAAGTAACAATTAAGAGTAACTTCTGGGAGAGCCAACTTCAGAACACTGGTCCACAAGAGACCTCCCAGCTCCACATAATATCAAACGGTGAAAATCTCCCAGAGATCTCCATCTCAACACCAGCAC